TAGTGATAAAGCCTGAAGTGGTTCCAGAATGCATGCAAGATGGGCCGAAGCCTCAGCCCGAACAACTTATTGAAATAGATCTGAGTGCTGGACAAGATGCTCCAAGGCCGATATTCATAAGTTCGAGCCTTAGCCTAGAGAAGCGGGAACTGTTGTTAAAATTGATAAGCTGGTATTCAGATGTGTTCGCTTGATCATATAAGGAAATGCCCGGACTAGATCCTGACCTAGTCTCCCATTATCTTGATGTGTTCCCAAACTCCAAGCCAATTAAGCAAGCTGCTCGAAAATATCATCCGGATCTCGAAGAGAAGATTATGGAGGAGATTAAAAAACTTCAACAAGCAGGTTTCATCCGGCCAATACAGTGCCCCACGTGGTTGGCAAACATAGTGCCAGTAAAGAAAAAGAATGGTCAAATCATAATATGTGTAGACTTTCGAGATTTGAACAAATCTTGCCCGAAGGATGAATTCCCTCTACCTCACATCGATACCCTTGTGGATGCCACCTCGGGACACCAGATGTTCTCATTCAAGAATGGATTCAGCGGATACAATCAGATTAAGATGGCTGAAGAGGATGTAGAAAAGACTGCTTTTAGAACACCTCTCGGAAACTTCTTCTATACAGTCATGCCTTTCGAACTCAAGAATGCCGGAGCAACTTATCAAAAGGCTATGACTGCAATCTTTCATGACATGATCCATCATGAGGTGGAAGATTATGTTGATGATCTAGTGGTGAAATCCAAGAAAGAAGATGACCATCTTTGAGACCTTGAAAAGGTATTTAAGAGGTGTCAGAAATTCAAAATGAGGATGAATCCTCTCAAATGTGCTTTTGGGGTGACGTCCGGGAAGTTCATCGGGTTTCTTGTACATAGGCATGGTATCGAGGCAGATGAAGACAAGGTCAAATCTATCAGAGCAATGCCGTCCTCGCATTCTCAGAAAGAGTTAAAGAAGTTCCTCGGGAAGGTGTCTTATATTCGGAGGCTTATCCCAGCACTTGTAGAGATCTCCGCCCCTTTCGGCTCATTATTAAAAGGAGATGCCAAGTTCGAGTGGAACCAGGAGCACCAAAAGGCCTTCGAGAGAATCAAGGCGGCCTTGACATTGCCTCAGACCATGATAGCCCCACAGCCCGAGGTGCCTTTAATGTTGTACTAAACTTTAACCCCTAAGTCCATAGGGGCATTATTGGTCCAAGATGTAGATGGAGCAGAACGCCCGGTGTATTACATCAGCCGGAAGATTCGAGGAGCAAAAGTCCGATATACTCCGATAAAGAGACATTGCTTAGCTCTGGTATTCACCGCCCAAAAGCTCAGACATTACTTCTTAGCACATCAGATTCAGATTGTTACTGAAAGTGATCCAATCCGATACCTCCTCAGCAAACCTGCTCTAACCGGGAAGGTGGCAAGATGGTTGTTAGCACTGGTGAATTCGAGATCACATGTGTAGCCCCAATGGCAATCAAAAGCCAAGCCTTAGCTGATCTCCTTGCTCAATTTCCAAGTGGTGACTATGAACCAGTGAATGAAGAATTGAGAGGAGAGCTGCATGCAGTTATGGCTTCTGAGGAAAGCTTTTGGACATTGAGCTTTGACGGAGCAGCAACCAGAGGTAAAAGAGGAACCAAGATAGTCCTTACAAGCAAAAGTGGGGAAAAGTTATATTTGTCTTATAAACTGGATTTCCATTGTTCGAATAATGAAGCCGAGTATGAGGCTCTTATTTTAGGCTTGATAGCAGCAGAGAAGCACAGTATCAAGAAGATTCAGATTCAGGGGGACTCAAAGCTGATAGTGAAGCAAGTTTCAGGACAGTTCATCTTAAAGGAGCCTGCCTTGGCCACATATCGAACAACAGTCCAAAGGCTTCTTGACAAATTTTAGAAGGTCGAAATAGAGCATGTGCCTCGCTCTGACAACAAGTTTTCAGATGCCCTCGCAACATTAGGGGCAAGAGTTGACATTCTAGAGGAAGAGGCGACAATTGTTATCAAGAAGAGAACAGAACCTTCAATAATACCCGAGGACAAAGACCTTCCAGAGGACTGGAGAGGAGAAGTCCTCGAACAACTCAGAAGCAAAGTTGGAAAACTGACTATGGCCAAGCTTGCCCAATTCATAATAATTCAAGGTGAACTTTACTTCCGAGGAGGTACCAGATTCCTAGCCCGGTGTGTTGGCCAAAAAGAAGCAAGCTTCTGACTACAACAGATCCATGAAAAGTCCTGCGGGGATGGGGATATCAGTCTGTACAGAAGAATCCAAAGACAAGCCTATTATTGGCCCGAGATGGAGAAGGCCTCGAATCAACTACAGAAAGAATGCCCCAAGTGTCAGTCATACATCCGGGAGGATGAGAGTTGCTTTGAAATTGATACCCCTGACTGGAGACAAGTCTACATTGACTATCTCATAGAGGGAACACTACCTGAGAGCCCGAGGGACATTGCACACCTCAAGAGGAGAGCGAGGCAGTACTTTCTTGATCAGGACAAGCTTTACAGAAGAAGTATTGAGGGCACTCCCCTGAGGTGTCTCTCCAAGGAGGAGTCAGATCTAGTCCTCGAAAGAGCCCACGAGATTCAACATTAAGGAGAGGCTCGGCTATTCGAGCAACTTATACACCTTGGGTATTACTGGCCAACCATGGAGTCAGATGCGTCCCATCATGTGATGAGGTGCCAGACTTGTCAGAAACACGGAAATTTGATCCATGCTCCAGCTGTAGACCTGCATGCCATCCGAACGCCATGGCCGTTCCATACCTGGGCTTTTGATCTGATAGGGCCCATTTTCACACCTTCTAAGGGATACAAGTGGATTCTCGGAGCTACAGAATTAAGCACGAAGTGGGTTGAAGCAATCCCTTTGAAAAACACTACGGGGCCCACGATCGCGAACTTCATCAAGGAGAACATCATTTGCCGGTTTGGAGTACCAAACACCATCCTCTCGGACAATGGCACTCCCTTCGTAAACAAATATGTGAAGAGCCTCCTAGAGACTTACCAAGTGAAGCATCACAAATACACACCCTACTATCCAAAAGGGAACGGGCAAGCGAAGGCCACAAACAAGACACTGATAAGGATTCTGAGCAAGATAATGGGTGAGTTTGGGGGGACTTGGTCCGAACAGTTGATAGTAGCCCTATGGGCGTATCGCATTTCAAAGAGAAAGCCAACGCAAGCAACTCCTTACTTCCTTGTGTATGGGTCCGAGGCAGTGTTACCTATAGAGTTGGAAATACCAGCTGCTCGAATGGCTCTCGCCTCGGGGATGGTACTGGAGCCTCGAACCACCAGATTGGAAGCATTAGAGGAAAAGCATGACAGAGCTGCAAAAGTCATGGAAAGGTATCATGAGTCCATCGCTCGAGCCTATAATCAGACTGTGGTGCCATGAAAGTTCGAAGAGGGTGATCTAGTATGGAAGATTGTAGACCCAATCATGCGAGGACAACCCTTGCCCAAGTTTTCTCCAAAATGGGAAGGGCCCTACAGGGTGGTTCAGGCAAGCTCAAGCAGGTACTATAAGCTTGTAAGAGTTGAAGATGGCTTTCAAACCGGCCCGCTCAATGCAAAGTTTATCATTGAAATTCATTTTCATTTTCTTACTTTGTCTAAAAGTTGTATTTCCCTTACGTTATGAAGAAGCTGGTTTTCTTTATGATGTTTGTTTTATCCCATCACTTGCAGTGAATTTATTATACTTTTGTCAAGAAAGTTGAAGAATTAATGAGAAGATTTCAGCTTTTATAAACATGTGCATATGATTGTTCTTTTCATTGTATCATTCGAAATAAATATTTTATTAAGTAGAATGAGAAAACAATGCGAAAATATCCAAACAGCAAAGATTTTTTCATTTCATTGCATTGTCCTAGATAAAACATTTCTATCGAAAGGGGCAAGAAAAAAAAAAAAAAAACTCAATCTCCTAAAAACACCCTCGAAGAAGCTGCCCGTCACATCTACATCTGGAGGACAAACAGTAGAGTGTGCCTCTAAAGTCTCCAAGGCCCGAGCATAACCCGACTCAAGTTCACGAAGAGTTGCCTTTGTCTCATCTATAGAGGTCCGATAAGAGGCAAGCACAGACAAAATTTCCTCCCGATGACTGGCTTTCGAAGCTACATCCAGACGCTTTCGAAGCCATGATAAATCCACTTGGTGACGCTCCATGTCAGAGATCCCCTGATACGCTGTCTCGACTACTTTCCCATTAAGGTCACATAGCCGTTGCCTGTCCAAGCTATGTAAGATAGTGGCAAAAGACTCGAGAAGAGCAATCTGAATGAGTGGACATTGGCAAGCAAATGAAGCAAAGGTCTCCGGGTAACTCGAATGCACAAGCTGTAGAACTGAAGCAAACTCAGGAGCTACCCAATAATGGAGAAATGATACTTTGCCAGAAGCTGAAGGAGGAATTGGGGCCGGAAAGCTACTAGTCTCAGGAATCTCCAGAATGTCTAGCGGGTTAGATGAACCACCCCGAGGGGTAACTTTCGATAGAGGTCCCGAGCCCGAGAATGTAGAGCGATAAGGGGAAAGACCAAAAGCATCGCTATCAAAGTGGAAATTGCTGAGATTCAGATCTAAAACATTCGAAGGAACTGGCGATGAAGAACCTCTAGTAGTCGTCTCAAAGGCAGGTGTCTCCCCTTGAGAAGGAGAACCACGAGGAGTCACAAAGAGAGTCGGAGCAGAGTTTGAGGTAGGTGAAGGCAGGACCCCGGTGGCAGTTAACACTGAAGAAAAAAAATAAGGAAGTCTTATTAGGGGCGGGGAACAGTAAAGCCATTTGAGTAAAGATTTCTCACAGATGGAAGTACAGAAGTAAATGACAAACTTCAGAAAGAAAGATTACCAGAGGGAGAATCAATATGCAAAGCCGGAGCAACTGAAGGACTCCTAGCATCAGCAAGGTCACTTGGCCGTATAGAGAGCACCTGATCGATCTCAATGTCTGACGAAGCTTGAACAGTAGCAGTCATCCCTGAAGAAGGAAGGAGGGCCGGAGGATGAGAATCACCATAAGTGCCAGAGCGAGTCTCAGAGATTTCTAGCACATCCACCTCCACACCATTCCCAGAGGCGCACCTCATCTCTACATTGCTTCTAGAAGCATGGCCTACGGCATCAATTTCTTTGGCATCAGTCCCTTCAGCAATCTCAACATCAGAATGGCGAGCCTCGACAACCTCGTCACCAAGATAGCGCTCCTCCTCAGTTACAATAGGACGATGACGACGCATGCACGGGATAAGGTCAGAGTTTAATGCATGCCCCATGTCCATGATTATTCCCTTTTAAGTGTGCTTAAAAGATGCCCTTTGATGCTTAAGTGCTTAGGCCTTAACATGTGCATGTGTGTATGTGTGTTCGGTCCCATCTCCTTAAGCTTTGGCCACTGTTTTTGGGCCTAATTAGAGCTGCCCGAATTAGTTTAAGTCCACTCTTTGCATGTTGTTACATGCCTTACGCTTTGCATGCTTTGATCGCATCATGTCTTGCATGTCCACTAGCTTGCATGCTTGTTCATTGCTTGCTTGTTTGCATTACCATGTTGCATCCTTAGCTCGCATGCCTAGGTTACATTGCATTTAGCATGCATGTCTTGTTCTTTGATCTAGTGATAGGAATTGGGCTTTGGCTTGTCGGTTTGCATTGCATTTGACATCAAAATGTGCACACTTGGTCCCTTGGGCCATCACGCATGGAAATGCGCGATTGATGGTCCGAGAACCAAGGAGCATGTTCCTTTGAGTCATTAACATGATAAGGGACATGATTGGTGCATATATGGCTTGAATTGCATTGCCATGTTCTGCCTTGCCCTCTGTTGCTATCAAATGCAGATTCTGCAGGAACTTTATGCCGACCGGCAGTGCTAAGTGCTGACCGGCAATCTTCCCTCTGCCGATAGCTTCACCAATGGCCGGTGATCACATGCCACTGCCGGTGGGCATTCTACTCAGCCGATGGCATTCTCCAGTATCCAGAGAAGCAATCCTGTGGTTTTGGCAGCCTCCAGAGGAGTAAAGAAAGGAAAACAGAGGCAGCCTATGCATGGCGGTACACTTTCGAGCAAGACCAGAGCACGCATTGCATTAGGCTCTTTTCTCGAGGTAGTTTACTGTTTTTCCTAGCTTAGTTGGTTTGTTAACTAATTAGGCAATTTGTAATAATTAATTAGCTCGCGAGTTAGTTAATTTGTAATATTTATTTGCTCCCCCCGAGCGAGGGCAAATCTGTAATAA